GCTATGTTAATTTATTATATTACCAGATTTTCCTTTTTTTTTCCCTTTTCCTTGTACTTAATGTCGTGGAGAGTGCTCCATCTTTAACTGTTTGTGATATCTGTTGACAGGGCTTCCACAATAGCTTCGTCTCTGTTTCTAATTTCCATTTTCAGATTATATTCTTTGATTCTTTTCGTTGTCGCAGCCATTGCGCTCTCAATCAGCCTACCAGTTGCATCGTCGCAAACGTCCGTGTAATAAACACAGCTTTCTGTGTGCCTGGACACTGCCACTACTGCGTGTTGGACGCTGTCATAAATTTTGAGCTTCTCTGTTGTTGTCCTCATTATGACCACTCTCCCGTATGTGAGACCTTGGGCCTCATGTACGGTTAAAATTCGCGACCCAGGACCCGAACCATATCCCTGGCTGGTAAGGGACTCCTTTTCTGCTTGCGTAAATGCAAGATATAAGGTGTCGGGCAGGGTACCTGGTATGACGACTCCCGTGTACCTCTTCCTTTCTAGTGAGTGCACCTGAGATCTGGATGAGTAAATGCCACTGTAGATTTCATTCAGGGCATATGCCACATCCATCGGATTCCGGTGCGTACACAGGAGTTCTTGGCTGATAGTGGTCACGAGGCTTGGGCGAGTATATTGCATCGCAAAGAGGTTTTGCCTGTCGATATAAGGGAGTTGATTGATGTCACCAATAAGCAGTATTTTTTCCGCTCCACTTAGTCGCATTGCCATTACTATGGCCCCGAAATGGTTCATGAGAGCTTCGTCGACTAAAATTCGAGTACATCTTCCCTTTTGCCTTCTCATACCATTTACTAAAACTGAGGCCATAGTGCGCACTTTTGTTTTTGCGTCAGTGGCTATGCGGTTGGCTAACTTTTCTCTAAGATCTTTAGCTGCTTCTGTTGTTGTTGTGACAATCAAATCATCCTCCGCATCGAATTGGTTTATAACCCAAGTTGTTTTGCCACATCCCGGGACTCCATTGACCCAATTTATCGTCGGCACCGTCCAGTTTTCCCAAGAACCTCCCAATGCACAGGCTCCCGAGATGGTTTCCGCCATTTTTAGGATCCTGTCCTCTAGCATCACCCTGGTGCAACGGGCGGTGACCACAATAGGGTCGTTGGGGGGGGAGTTTAATACTAATCTTCCCTGTCGTTCTGTCTCCTCCTCATCCAAGGCTACGAAGCCCGCTGACCCGCTATAAGCCGCCATGTGATGACCCATTTTACCTCTTATGACAGTAGATGTTTTGTTGTCATAAATTGCGGCCTCTGCTTCCTCGAGCTGCACCCCAAGGAACTCATGACTACCGAGGTGGAAACTTTGTAAGATATTCTTGCAAGTAGTTTGGTTCACCTCAAGAGTTGCTTTTATGAGGGCCTTAAACTCTAAGAAAGCGTTGATTATGTGGTCTTTAGGCTCGACCGCTGGTAGAAGTCTTGGAGGGCTGACGCGTCCCGAACAGGGTCTAGTGTGGGTGGGTTTGGATTTCTTGAGTACTCTTGGAGGCTCTCTTATTAGGTTATCGGCTTGTCTTAACTTGCTCAACTTTCGCATTGCTCTTCCTGGAATGCTCTGGGCCGCTGCACTGATGGTTTTAATTAGTGCACTTACCCCGCTTTGTGACTCAGAACTTTTTTCTAAGTTTTTCCCTGGCTGCAGCCTTTTCTTTGGCCGTTTTCAGTTGCAGGCGTTCTGAGCCACTAAGTGTCTCTGGATTTGCTACAAGATGTTGGGTTGCCTTTGTTGAGTCGTGATGTTTGAGGAAGCTCAGGTTTTCGTCCCTATCCTCATACACGACTATTTCATGTTTGTTTGAGGCTTTTCTACAACCAAAGTGGTCCATGACTTCACCTTTCTCATATAGGACCACCATGGCATCCACACTTATGATGCGGGGTATGACAGATGTCTCTTCCTCACCGAGTCTCGTTAGCAGTGAGCATGCCTGGGCGAATGGGGTTTTTTCTTCGCTCCATGTGAACAGCAAGATCGTTTTGTTTTTCGATCTTACTATTCGACATCGTTGCTTTGCAACCTCTATTTCAACTAGCGCCTCATATGTTTTGCGCTTCATGCTCGTTTTGAGAGTACTGCCGTTTAGTAAGCTTGCGAGACCGGGAGATATTTTGACATAGTTTCGACCAGTTGTTAAGCAAAAACTTAAGCCGAAACGCTCTGTGTTGTTATCCATGAAGAGAGCTACTCCTCGAATTCTCAGGCCTGGGTTACCTCTTTCAGCGCATGCAAGTAGCTTATGGTCTGCTTTATTGGCTGGGATGCTCTTCTCCTTTACGGAGACCTCTGCGAATTCCGCGACAGTTTTCTGCTGCCTGGGGAATGGATAGTTCATGGTGTTACGCTTTGCAGCAGCGCGAAAGATGGACTCCACGAATGCCAGAAATTTGGGCCTTTTTTCTTCGTCTTCGATGATTTTGTGTAGGTCAGACTTGTCAAGATTGGTGTTTATGCAAAACTCGAGATCCAGACGTGCCGCCTGATAGCGGGGACACTCCAGAATCACATGCCACACTGACTCACTGACATTGGGATCGCACTCGCACCCTGGTGTATCCTTAAGCTTAAAGCGGTGCAAGTACGCCACAATTCCACCATGTCCTATTAACACTTGTACCTATGTGGGTGTCAACTTCGTCTTTCTCACTATCCGGTATGCTATTGCAACATCCGGTAGGAATATTTTGGTGACTTGCCCAGTGGTCGAGGTCTCGTATCTGTCCTGCCAGATTCGAACGGTTTCCTCTCTGATTTTCTTTTTCACGTAGGACATGGGGATTTTGTCGTAGTCTGGAGTGGCTGTCTCCCGGAGTGCCGCCGCCTTGGCAAGCTCATCAGCTCTCTCATTTCCAGACGTGCCTACATGAGCCCTCAACCAAAACAGCCGTATCACTCTTCCCTCTTTTCTCATCTTCCCTATGCTTTCTTGAATGGCCTTTGATAGGGGGTGGCTTGCTTTAGGGTTTGCCAGCAGATCGAGCGAAGATCTTGAGTCACTCATAATGTTAACAACAGGTTTAGTGCTCGATTCAGCTAGTTTGGTCGCCCTGAGCAAGGCATAGAGCTCGGATTGGAAGACTGTACAGGATGGATCCAGTCTAAAGGTGGAACTACTGATCTCCCTACCATCTTCCCACCACGTTAAAGCTGCTCCGACCCTCCCTTCTATCTTAGTTCCATCGGTGTATATGTAAGGGCCGGTTAGTTGGTGGAGGTTTGTGTTTCCGATTGTTTCCAGTAGCTCATATTTCAATTTGACGAGTTTAGAGGGATGAGGTTGATCCAAGTGATTTACACGGTTTTCAAGCTCTCTTCCTGGTGGTAAATAGTCCAGTGTGCCTTGTTTCCTGGTTTGGTACAAGCTGGACGCTTCTTTTACTCTCAGGTCTAACGGAAGCAGACCCGAGATGACAAGCGCGGAAGTGAGCGATACCGTGCGGTACGCTTTACAGATCTTCTGCGCGAAGCCCCTTTGCAACGTGTTTAGTTGGTCTTTGATCATCTGAAGTTCTGTTGCTGAGGACCACGCGCTCGAAGCGTACATCACTATAGGTTCGACGACTGCAACGTATATTGTCCTTACAATCTCACCATTGAGACCCCAGGTCACCTTGGCCGCGCATGCAAGCTGTTTGTATATGTCAGCCGCTTTTTTGCATACGGCTGTTACATGCGGTTTAAAGGTGAGTCCACGGTCAATGATGAGACCGAGTACTTTAATTTCCTCTACGAGGTTTACTCTGCTGCCGGACATTTGCAGGTTGGGGAGGTCAAATTTAAGTTTTTTAGTGACAAGCATTGCATTTGTTTTATGCGCTGCAAACTTTAGCTTGTTCTGGGTTCCCCACTTCTTTACTCTTTTTAGAGTGTCATTGGCCTGTTGCTCCAGGGCACTCGTTGAGTGACTCGAGAACACCAAGACGACGTCATCTGCAAATGCCTGACAATACACCCCTTCGTTCGTAAGTTGGTGCAGCAGTGAGTCTAGGATAACATTCCAAAAGGTTGGTCCACCGATAGATCCTTGAACACAGCCCTTCGTAGTTCCCCTCTCACTCGTTGCTCTGGCATAGTTAATTACGATTTTTCGATCTTGAAGGTAAGAGCCAACCATATCGTAGAGGTTTTTGGGACATTTCTTTTTGGCTAGTTGCAGTTTTAATGCTGGCCACCATGCGTTGTCAAAGGCTCCCTCTATATCTAATGAAACAACAGGGACGATCTTCTTATTCCTCGCTTCGTTTTTGATGTATTTCAATAGATCATAGAGGGCGTCCTCTGTACCACGTTGAGGCATGAACCCATACTGGTTTTTATTAAGGGTTGGGAGGATGTACCACTGGAGTCGGCCCACCATCAACTTCTCGACTATTTTTCCGAGTACTGACAGGAGACCTATTGGTCGGTATGACTTTGGATGTGTATAGTCATCCTTTCCTGGCTTACGGATGATGACCACATGTGGAGTTTTCCACTGCTTGGGAAAGTACGCCAATTTCAAGCACTTGTTGTCTATCGCTAAGAATACCTTCCTGTTGCAGTTTATTGCAGCGGAGCAGATGTCAGCTGTTAGCCCGTCTGGTCCAGGGGCCTTTTTGGGGTTTAGTGTTTGTAACACTGATTCAAGCTCCGCTTCTGCAAAAGGTGGGTCATCTTCTGACAAACCTAGGTCTTTGTTAATTTCCGTCAGCTCTCGTATTTTGGTGTGGTATGGCTGATCTGTTTCCACACAGTCGTCAGGGTAAAATGTTTGGGCCAAGAGTTCTGCCGACTCTTTTGGTGTCAGAGTTTCCCCTTGGATGTTTCTTAGGAGCATGTCCTCATATCTTCTTGAGGATTTCCGGATAACTCTGTAAATTTTATCCCACATGCTCTCCCTTTCCTGTGTCGTGCAGAATTCCTTCCAGCTTTCGGTTTGCGCCTCCTCAACTTTTATGGTGTATTGTTATTTAAAACTTATTTATTCGTCTATTACGTGTTGTCTTCGACTTGGTGCCGCATTTCTAATACGTCTTTTTTCCTATGGACTTCTTTTTTGAGTTGGTTGAGGGATTTTGACCACCATGGGGGCGTTGCATTCACCCTCCTCGTGCCCATTTTCGGAATAGTCTCATCGCAAGATTCCTGGATTGCTTTTGTGTAGGCTATTGTGATGGGTTCCAGATCGTCGTGGATTTCCGCCTCCTCAATTAGTGTGGGAGTTATGGCTCTTTCTTTTAGAAGGGATCTAAAGCGTGTTGAGAAGTCCGACCAGTTTGCCTTTCTGGTGTTGTATTTGCGCGTTGTGCAGGGCCGTAATTGTGTCAAGACCGCTTTGGTGCGCAGTGTAAACATAATCGCGTTGTGGTCTGATGTAATTAGGCTTCTCTCCACTCTCCAGTCCTCCACATTGCCGAGAAGTGACGAACTGCAAGCAGTGACGTCTACTATGCTCGAACAAATTCTCCCCCTTCTGTATGTTTCGAAGGTAGGCGTGTCACCCGTGTTCAGAATATGGAGATCCATTTCATTGAGGAAGGTGTTATATGCCGCGCCTCTTTCATCTTCGGAATTACTTCCCCACCATTGGCTCCAAGCATTTATGTCTCCAGCCACTATGATGTTGTTTGTGTGAAGTTTTGCGCAAGCTGCTTGGATTCGCCTAAGGTAGGGATTTATATCTTGCTCTCCCTCGAGGTAAACTGACACGACTCCCAGTTTTAAATTTCCTGCAACGAGAAGTACTGCCGCTTCTGTTTCGGTAACCAGCTGTGGATCATGGATAATCTCCAGCTGATCTCCGAAGATCAGCACTGCGGCCTTTACCGGTTTTTGTCTATTCAGGCTGCATTGAACTACTCGCGTGCCAGGATGTTCTTTAATAACGCCATTTTTTCCCACATAGGGTTCCTGTACTATGGCAATCGACACTCCTTTATTCGATGCAACCTGAAGTAGTTCCGCCGTTGCTACCCTGGAGCGTTGCAAGTTCACCTGAATGATTTTGAGGTCTGACCTACTAATGTTGGAGTTGATATTATTTTGATTGCCCTTAGCAGTAAGATATGCGGGACCATCCCACTTCTGCTTTTCCCGGCAATCAAAGCTAAAAGCATTGTGTGCCAGGTCCGTATCGGCACCGTGCGCTTGAGGCAATTTTTACATCGGGGGGGGTCTCCCCTCCAGTCTGATCGGGCATTTGTCCCATGAATGGGTCTCTCCGCAGTGACTGCAGAGTTCCTCCTTTTCATGGCACACTGCTTTTGTGTGGCCAAAACCGAGGCATTTTGTGCATTGCACAAGGGGAGAGTGATCCATTATTGGTCTTCTTTGGAGGCCGATGTAAATTTTACCCGCATCAATGAAGCGCCTGTGCACTTTTGGAGAGAGCTCAAGTACAGGATGGCACTCTTGTGGATTCCTCGCCTTTTTCCTGTATCGAACTCTGACTGTTCGTTCTTTCTCATCGACGTCATGCAGAAGGTGTTTGTTCTGCGCCAGTATATTTTCCACGATTTCGACGTCTGTGTGATACGATAGCACGTCCCTGATTATCGCCAAGGGATTGTTTGTTCTGGCAACCTCTACTTTTAAACTTTTATTTGTCTTAACTCTATTTTGTACAAGGTTAAGATCCTCCTTGGTGTTGCAACTGAGGACGACTTTTTGGTTTTTCGCCTTCCTTACCCTATCTACTTTGGCTCCAGTCTTTTTTGTGTCTAGAGCCTCCCTGATTCTCTCGATGATATTTTCGGCTGTGTTTTTCGAATCAGTTGATGTGATAATGAGACTGTGATTGGGTTTAGGAAGGGGAGGGCTTGCAGCCACTCTGGCGTATGTCTTTTTTGGCTTTGTTGCTGCTTCGCCAGTTTGTGCAAGCTCTGTTGCTAGACTTGGGGCTGTAGGTGATGGGGCCCGTTGCTTCTGCTCTATCATCGTCCTCAGCTCGGATGACATTGCACCTAAGTGTTCTTCTATAGGTTGAAGATGTTCCCTTATGCTGGTTTGGAATATTTTACTGGAGTCCGCTGAAGGTAACATTGAAAGTCCAGATCTGATACTTGTATCTATCTCCTTCAGCGAACTCTTCATTCCATTCAGCTCATGTTCCAACGTTTTACTTATTTCCTCTGAGGGGTGGGATGGTGGTGACTCCAGGCGTAGCAGGGTTTTTTGGCCGGTCTCCAGAACCTTCTTGGTGTTGTTTTCGGACTTTTCGATGACTCTGCGCATTTCGTCCAATTGAAGTTTGAGTGTTTCCACACTAGATTTTACTCCAGTAAGGTCCACTCTTAGGTGAGATAAAATGTTGTCTGCACCTTCTTGCTTCTGCTGACTCAAGTTCGACTGAATCACACCTATGCGTTTGTCTAAGTCCGTCACAGCTTTGAGTAGGTCGCTCGTTTTGCGGAAGGGCTCTTGGGTTTCGAAGTTCAACCAACCCCGTATCGCCTTGGATTCCTGGAGGGTATTTTTTATATCTGTCCTGGCATGGCCTAGTTCGGAAGCCATTTCCTTCATAAGCTGGGTGATGATCTTGTTATGGGCGCGCTCCACTCGCATTAGTTCTTGAGCGTTGCGTGAGCGTTCCCTTTCTAGATTATGCTTATGTCTAGATCTGGAATCTGACAGCGCCAGGACCATCTCGTAGAGGGACTGCAGACTCTCTAAAGCTGTTAACTTACACTCCCTCTTCATATTCCCTGCCATTTCTAGCGCTTCCTTCCCTCTCAGAAGCATTTCGTTCGCTTCTTTTGTTGCCATATCCATTTCCACCCCCAGTCGCCTGTTGGAGTTAAAAAGCAGGCTGGGTCTTCCTTTTTCCGGTGCCTCCGATAGTGGTGATTCCGACGCAGATGTGATCGAAAGTTCTTCGTCGGATAAAACTGGAAGTGGAGGAATTTCTTCCTGCTTCCAGTTAGCTACTTTGTCGATAGCCGCATCTACCGGGTCACAAACGGAGGATCGGATCGAGCTGTCGCTTTTAACTGAAGTTTGCGACATTTTAGTTCCCAGAGTGGGGGTGTGCGAAGAGGCATTTTTTCTTGTTGTAGATGCGTCTGTCGGAGCAGAGTCCGCTGGACGTTTTCCTGTTGCGGGATGAGATGATGGCTGCGACAACTTCTCGCTAGGTGTTGCTTTTGATAAACTGGATTTTGTAAGTACTTTTTCCCGCAGCGATCGTGGAGGTCTAGGTGGAGCAACAGAAAGGTTTTGGGAGGACTTGATTGAAGAAGCAGTCTCCACATCCGACATGATTACTTTATTTCCTGACATAATTACAAAAAATTAAAAGATTCTCTAATTGTAAGTTGCCTTAGTAGCTATAAATATAGGTAATGCCTTATAAAATATTATACAAGTATTATATATTTTTTAATATTTGATGATATTTATTATATTTTTTTTTTTGTGAACTCACTGCTGGTGTTCTTCGATGGTTGAATTGATTGATTGGCTCCAGCTTCCGTCATCCTCTGCCATACGTTAGGCTTCACCTGTAAGATTATGTGCAATGTCTTAGGATTTCGTGTGCGTTTTTTAAATTTTACCACCATTTCCTTATCTTCTTCTGGTAGGCCCACGAAAATGTCCTTATTTTGAGCGTAGAGCGCCTTAATCATATCATCGTCTTCGCTATCCAAAAACACATCTTTAAGGACAACGAGAGGATTTTTATTTTTCATAGGCGCTACTTTCAGTCCATCTCCGCGACTCTCTATAATTTCTTGGACTTTTTTCATCTCCTCTTCTGTGTCGCAACCCAATATTACCGTTTGGTTCTTGGCCTTACGAACCTTGTTAATTTTAAGGCCAGTGCCTCTAGCGTCGACCGCTTTTTTCACCCTGGCGAGCACCTCGTTAGCAGTCTCCAAACCACTTTCAAAGGTGACCGCCATCGAGTGAAGTGCGGGGCGGTGGGCTGGTTTGGCTGCTACGACGCTGGCGTATGTCTTAGGGACTGGGGCTATATTTAGTCCGCATGCCAGTCCTTTTGCAACCTTCATGAGTTCTTTTTTGGCTGCGACGACATCATCGGCAATACCACCGACCAGATCTTTAAAGAGAGCCTGCGTTCGACTCTCGGCCTTTTCGGCCGTTTGGTCTACAGCAGCTCTGGTCTCGTCGATCCTGTCGATGATCTTGTTGATCATGTCGGAGCCTCGGTCATCGTTGCTGTTATTGAGTCCTTTTATGTCCGTTTTCAGACTTCGCTCCATCTCATCTATGCGCTCGGTCAGTGCCGCTTCCACCTCTCCCATTTTCCTGAGGATGACATCCTGCCGATTGGACGACGAGATTCTTATAGGTGTCCCTGTTGTTGGGACCTCTGCTTCGAGGCTTTGGATACGCCTACTGAGCTCGAAAATTGCTCGTATGCCTTTATCTGACTGCGCCTCCAGGAAATGTTTTGTGTCTCTCCTCATCTGAGGGTACTCCTTGACTTTCGAGGGTATATCCTCGAAGGTTTTCATTATTTCCTGGAGGAGCTGATCACTCGGTAATGCAGCGTAGTTCTCTTGCTGCTTTTTGTATACGTCCATGTTATCGAGTGACCTCCTTTTGGCGTCTGGTCTTTTGATAAAGGTCCTAGCGGCATCCTGCGCTGCTGCGGTTATGGTAGCAGGGCTAGGAGTGGTGGGCTTTTTGGCAGCGCCAGAGGTCGTGGGTGTGCGGTACATGTTAATTATGTGAGTGTGTATGAGTGCGGTGTGTAGTGTAGGTTATTGTAAGTGGATCGGGGATAGTTGTCCCTTTATAAAATGTTTTTAGACCCTGTAAAGGGGGGTCAGTGTCAAGTGCAAAATAAAAACTAATCTATCCTATATATATATATATATATATATATATATATATATATATATATATATGTTAATAAAACTAGCCTATCTTATTTTAATGAGGGAGAGTCCAGCTCTTTTAAGTTATTTTTAACCTTTACTAATGTAAAGGGGCTTGAGCTAGGGCTTATAAGCCTTTAGGACCCGATTCCCGCCAAAATTTTAAAAGTCAAAAAAAAAATCATAAAATAAAAAATAAATAAAGAAGTCTCTATGTAGAGTCTATATACATATAAATGAAGGTCTACAAATTTAAATATTTTTACAAAAAACCCCGTTCGACTAGACCCACCGGTTTCTGTGTTATAGGTGTTTAAAGTTTTTCATCCCCCAGAGACAAAGTCAACTTAGGGGTAAGGGGTTGATACTATGTCCAAATGATCCGGTGGGGGTCGAAGACTATCCGGCTTCTGGATAGTGTGGGGGGTGACGGGGGGGGGGGCGAAGGAAAATTTTGTCAGAATTGAGCTAGGAGGCTCCGTTTTCCTGTAAACTGAAAACACAGTTATCGTGCAGTTTGCAGGACCTCCCAGCTCTCACAATTAATTTTATATCTTAAAAACGACTTGTCAGAAAATTCTGTAAAAAATAGTGTATATAGAGCGTTAATTGCTTTTTAATAATATATTACTTTTTGAGTTTGGTGTCCTGAAAAATTTTTTAGTTTTTAAATTTTTTAATTTTGATTACTAAAACCAAGAGCCGCAAAAAGGCTCTAAATCGTGTAATTTGGTAGGAAAAATTTTGAAAAAATTTTGGGAATAATATATATAAGCAAACAAAAATTTTGACACTATTTTCAGGATTTTCAGGAAGATATTTCAGCCACCACGTGTTTAAACAAATTTTTTAAAAATATCTTAATATTATTATTTACACTCCGATTTTAAAGTTTTTTATGTCTATTGTTAGGTCTCGAGTTTTACTTTCACATAAGGTTTATAACTATATAGGTCGTCACTGAAAATTGAAAGTTATTCACCTTTGAATCTCCCGGCTGAAAATCGGTGTCTTCAAAGCGTGATATCTCCGGTGTTTGTTGTCCAATTTTTGTGATCGAGGTGTCGAACACTTAGCCTCGAAATCCTCTTCCGATGTATGATGTCAAATTTGGCCGCACAGCATCCAATCCAAAAACACGTGTCCACGTGGTTTTGGATTTCCGAAAATATTTCGGTGCGCAGACGTCGAAAAAATCCGGTAATTAGCCAAGACGCTTAAGCTCGTCAGGGCGCTTCTATTGACATAATAAAAACTATATGTCGTCGATCGTTATCAAGCTACGTTTCACTTAGAAGTTTTTTGAGGTTATAAAAACCAGTTTTTCTGTAATAACTTTTTTGTTTTAACACTTTTTTCACTTCTCTTTTCACCACTATGTTTGTCTCACTGAGACGCGTCTAACGATATATATCACTTATGATTTGGTACACTTTGATCAAACACTTTGATTTTTCGAACGCGGAGCGATACGAAAATGCTGCGTACGGAACGGCGTTTGGAGTGCAACTGGTTAGGTTAGGTTTTTTTTTTTTTTTTTTCTATTGTAACTGCTGCTGTTTATTTTGCAGCATCTTTTCTTCTTTACTTTTTTTTTAATCCTTTATACATATTTTTTTTTCTTATTTTATTTTGTGTTATTAATTTGTCGTGCCAATGATCGTCGTTTACGTCTCTTCTGTTCATGTTTCTCTACTTGTTAATCGAGTAATTTCATGCATCCGCCATTCCATTCATTAACTCTTTTAACTACATTTTTAGCGTACCTTACAAAAAGATCTCTTTTGACGTCGTCACTTACAAATAATTTATAATTATTACTTTTTATTTTTGTTCCTAATTTTTGTTCCACTTCCCATCTCCAGGAATCAAAAATTTGACATTCGTCTAGTAAGTGGGTAATAGTTTGGATACTCGTTCCATCACACTTACATACTGCTGTGTCTTTCAATTTAAATCTGTGAAGATATTCACCGAACCCACCATGTCCTGTGAATATTTGCGTTAGTAAGTTTGTTGTTTTTAATTTCAACAGTATTTTATGGCTTCGACGAACATCATCAAAGAATAGCTTGGTTATCGCTCCTGCTTCTTCTTTCATGTATCGCTGTTGCCATTCCGCTATTGTTATATTTCTAAGGGACCACTTGACAAAGGAAACTGGGACTTTATCATACACAGGTGCAGTTTTCTTATGTAAAGCTGCCTTTTTGGCCAATTCGTCGGCTCGCTCATTGCCGTCTAGTCCAGAGTGGGCTTTTATCCAAAACAGTTGTATTTGTCCTCCATTTTCGTGTGTCTCAGATATTTTTTTATTAATTTCTACTACAATCGGATGGGTATTATGCGGATTGCAGACAGATTCCAGTGCAGACCTCGAGTCGCTTAATACTTGCGTTCTTTTTAACTGTGTTTTGCGAATTGTAAGATCAACAGCTCGAAGTATTGCTGCTAATTCAGCCTGGAATACAGAGCAGTGGTTATCCAGCTTAAAGTTTGAATTTAATTTTTTCTTTACCGTTCTCATACCACACAACAGCCGCTCCCACCTTACCTTCTATCTTACTACCATCTGTAAACAATTGTGGTAAATGCATTCCAATTTCTTTTAGGTCTTCTTCTTTATAAACTTCCTTAAACGACAAAGGCTGTCTTTTTGGAGATGAAGGTAAATTAAACACACTGACTTGACTTTCTATAGGCCTATCGAGGAGAATATCCAGGGGCTTTCCTCTTTTAGCTCTGTGAAATTCAGCCGTTTCCCTTACTCTTAAATCTAAAGGGAGTATCTTACCCAAAAGCGTACTTGCTACACAGGAAGTAGTTTTATGCGCCTTTGCAATACGTAATGCGAACATTCTCGTTATGCGGTCCAATTTCAATTTAATATATTTTTTATCAATAACTTGATCCCAGGAACTTGCTGCATATAAAATAATTGGTTCAATTACTGCTATATAAATGATTCTTAATATTTCACTATTAAGTCCCCATGTAGATTTAGCGGCTCTAGTAATGCTTTTGTATATATTTGTTACTTTTTGTATTGTCCTGTCCAAATGTTTGTTAAAATTCAAGTTACTATCGATTGTTAATCCTAAAACTAATATCACTTCCTATATTAAGTGTTGTGTTATTTAGTACAAAATTTGGTATATCATATTTTAGCTTCTTCGTTACTATTATTACTTTTGTCTTGTGGGCAGCAAATTTCATTTTATTTCGTACACTCCATTCTGATATTTTTAATAAAGCTTCGTTAGTTTTTCTTTCTAATTCTCTAGCTGTATCTGCCTCCGCAATTAACAATATATCATCTGCAAAGGCCTGGATGTGCGCTTCTAATGAATCCGCTGTTTTTAACAAAGGGTCAAGCTGGATATTCCACATCAGTGGTCCACACGTGGATCCTTGAATGCATCCTTTATTAGTTGGCTTAGTGATCTTTGTACCGGCGTAGTGTACTTCAACAGAGCGCTCGTTAAGGTAACTGAAAATGGTTGCTAATATATATGGATCACACTTATTTTCAAAGAGTTGCTTTTTAATAACAGGCCACCAAGCGTTGTCAAAGGCCCCTTCGATATCTAGAGAAATGACAGCTATAATTTTTCGTTTCTTAAGTTTATCTCTTATCAAAGTGACAGCATCATACAATGCATCTTCGGTACTAGTCTGGGGCATAAATCCGTATTGTCTTGTGCTTAATTTGTTAGTGTTTCCTAGAAACCAAGTTAATCTATTTGTTTTTTTGTTTTCTATTTTCTATTTGTTTTTTATATATATATGTTTTTT